TTTAAAGTACCATAACAAGACAAAGATCATGACAGCCAGGAAGATGATGGGGTGGGTACTGAGAACTTTCAAAACAAGGGAAATAATGCCGATGGTGACACTCTTCAAATCGCTAGTTCTCCCTCACTTAGAATATTGCTCATGCTGACGGCCCCGTTCAAAGCAGGAGAGAGCATTTATGGCTCACGTTGAGCCTGTAAAGCACCTAATCTACTGGGAATGCCTGCAGGCCTTGAACATGTATTCATTGGAGAGGAGGACAGAGATATACATGATAATATATACCTGGAAAATACTCGAGGGCCTGGTCCCAAATGTGCACATTGCCATAACAATGTACTGGAGTGAGAGATATGGGAGGAAGTGTAAAATAAACCCAGTGAGGAGCAGGGGTGTGGTGGGAGCAGTGAGGGAATACTGTATCAACATCCAGGGTCCCAGACTATTCAACATTCTACCAGAAGATATCAGAAACATAGCTGGAACAAGTGTAGAAGCCTTCAAGAAGAAACTGGACAAATAACTTCACCAGGTGCCTGATCAACCAGGCTGTAATGGATATGTGGGGCAGCGGGTCTCTAGCAAGCAAGCACCAAACGAGCCTGGCCCATGGCTGGGCTCAGAGAGTAGGTAAACTCTCGAAACTCTTCAAAGGTATATCAGTAGGGCCTCGCTTTATGGCATTTTGCCTTGTGGTGTTCCGCTAATATGGTGATTTCAAATTATGACCAGAACTCTATACGGCGAGCGGTCTTTCTAATATGGCATGCGCCACCCAGTTTTCTTACATTCTTTGTAAGCACATCTCTATTATGTTTGGAAACTTTCCAAAAATTCAAGTGTTTTAAAGTTATTGCATATTTTATATGTACAGGAGGGCCCCGCTTTACGGCGTTCCACTAATACGGTCATTTCAAATTATGACCAAAACTCGCTATATGGCTCCCCCCACCTGACTTTCTAATACGGTCACCGTGCCCCACCCTGTTTGTTTGCATTCTCCGTGAGCTCAGTAAGCACTAAGTCTCTCCATTTTGTCTGGAAACTCCAAAATTTCAAATGTTTTTAAAAGTTATTTCATATTTTATATATACTCTGATAATTATACTTATGTATATCTGTACCTAAATAAACTTACATACTGTGCTGGCATGCAGGTACACATTAAAATCGGTAAGTGTCTTATGTCTCCAGACGTCATATTAGTAATAAAATAATCATCGATCATTTAAATGTCGTATATTACGGGTTTAAAATAACATTTTCATTAATCCATCTATGATATTTTTTTCAAAATTATATAATAAACACGATACATAACATATAAATAAGATAAATACACCCCACAGTAGAATAAATAAACAAATGTGAGATGTGGTAGCAGACGACTTGCACAAGTGACGCCATATTAGAAAATAATAATAATAAAATACACATACTCTCAACGAGTCTCATTAATGTCGTTTGCCTTATGTAAACACTTTCAAACACATCCATGAGTTTTTTTCCAGGAATACATATACAAACGATTCATAACATAAAAAGTGTTAATAGCCACAATAGAATTAAATAACATAAATTAAGTGTGGGAGCCGAGATACATGTACAAGGCAGGAAAAGAAGAACATCTTTCTAATCTAACATAAGATTAATGTGTTACTGGGGGTAACTGTAGAAAATATTCCTTTCGATGTTATGTTAAGTTTATTCAGGTATACACAATACAGTTAATTAGATTTCATAAATAAACATATAGTAAAACTAGAAAACCCAAAAAAGTCCATGAGACTTATTTCCATTGCTTCACTAGAGCTTCATCTTTCAAATTGTTACATGAGAATGGAAGTGTTTTCTTATAATTCTAACCGTATCAGTAGAACAACCTGTACACAGTAACTTGTAACAAACTAGAGGTACACTTTGTTTGTTTAAAAACTTTACGGGTTTGCCTGTTGTTTACATAACTCTGCGCTGACACCTTTATGAACCATTGCTTTTCTCTCTCAATTATTGTTTTATTCTTACTTACTCCTGACCCTACATTTAAGACTACAAATATGTTAAGGTAGATGAAATGATTTATATTATTACATTTTATCGCTCTGGGAAGCTTAAATATCATAGAATAGTATGTGTGGGTGGGGTGGCCTGGTAAGGTAGCCTGGCTGATTACCATACATACCACACTTGATTTCTTACAATAAATACTACTTGTCTCACCCTAGATTAAGACTATAAATATTTTAAGGTAAGTAATGAGTGCACTATGTGTGTATTGTACTTTTTTATTGTTTTTTGATGCCTGGTTCTATTGCTAACTTAATATATGTTAGTGTAAACTTGTTATCTAGTGTTTGTATGCATTTATAAGTGGAACAAAAGGGTGTTCCACTTTACGGCGGTTTCCGCTTTACAGCGGTAGCCTGGAACCTAACCTGCCGTATAAGTGGGGCCCTGCTGTACTCTGATAATTATACTTTTGTGTACTTATACCTAAATATACTTATATACAGTGCTGGCATGCAGGTACACATTAAAATCACTAAGAGTGTCCCGGTACTCTTAACGGCATAGTAATAATGCTATACGTAATAATAATCACTCTTGGGCACATTAATGTCTTATTTTAGGTTAATAGACATTTTCAATAATCCATCTATGATATTTTCTTCCAAAATTATATAAGAAACATGTTACATAGCATATAAACATGCTATGGAGGTGTGGTTGTCAGGTGGAGGGAAAACATGTTTTCTCTGGTCCAGCATCAGAGAAAATGTGTATGAATCTGCGTTGGCCTAGTCACTCCCCATAACACACAAAGCTTTTGTTTACAGTTCTTAGTGTGAATTATTCATTACTTCTCCCTTTGTTTATGATGGCATCTAAAAGTAGCTGTTAGAAATAATTTAACTCAGTGAAACAAGGTACGTTGATGGTAATAATATGGCTCTGGACTGCATTAAATATTGTATAGCTATATAGGTAGGTGCAGCTATGTAGCCAGGCAGACTACATAGCTACATCTACTGGCTACATACACCTGACTTCCTACAAATAAGTGCTACTCACCTCTTGTCCTACATTAAGACTACAAATATTTTAAGGTAAGTAATGAGTGCTGTGTATTATTTTACTTTTTTATTGTGTTTTTAATGCCTAATTCTATTACTAACTTAATATAAGTTAGTGTAAACTTGTTGTCTGGCATTTATATGCATTTATAAGTGGAAAAAATGCCATTCTGCTTTCTGGCGATGTCTGCTTTCCAGCAGTAGCCTGGAACCTAACCTGCCGTGTAAGTGGGGCCCTGCTGTGTGGAGACCATGTTTGCCTTTTTCGAATTTTTTGGCAGTTGTTCTGAATGGAGAGATTGGTTGAATACCTTTGCTGTTGGGTTGCATATTGGTTCTGCACCTTCACTCAGCACCCATGGAGATGTTATCTAGTCCTATTGCTTTTGTTTAAACTCCTTAATAGTCTTGTCACTTATTCCTTTATTGTTCTGGTGCTCTCCATTATCTGTTGATCTGGTTTGAAATTAGAGCATTCTTGTAACTCATCACTTTCTTCTGTGAAAACCTCATTGAATCTTGTACTAAGCTCCTTGCATCTCTTTCATTCTCCATTAGCATCCCATCATCCTTCTTCAGCCTTATCACGTGGTCTTTTGCAGTGTTGTTTTTCTTGTGTGACTATCAAGTAACCTTAGCTCTGTTTTGGTTTTTGATGCTGTGTCATTTTCAGAATGACTTTCAGTTTTTCTTCTTATTCTTTTGTGTATTTATTTATTTATGGCTTCTTGCTTGTTCCCATTTTTTTTTTTTTGCAGTTTGATTTGCTCCAATTTTTTTTCCAAGCCCTCTTGCCCCTTTCCTTGGCCTCTCTCTGCATTCCTGATTGAACCACGAGCTTTCTCTATATTTCTCGTTTCTTTTCTTCATTCTTGGAGCAAATCTTTCCTTTGCCTCTTGGCACTTTGTCCCTTTTACATCCATCCTTTTTTTGTATGTCTTTGCCCTCTATTTCTTTTTCCTATTGTACCTTCAGAAGTTTCTCATCCCATTATAGTCCCTTTCCCTTTCCTTTTTGTTCTCCCATTTTACGTTACTTCCTCCATTTTTTCCCATTCCTACTTATACGACGTACTCAATGCATATAGAGGATCCAGTGCTGTAACTACTCAGTCACAAACTTACAGCACCTCTGTGACATGGTAGTATCAGTGGCACCAACTGTGACCCTACTGTGTCTCACCTGTAGTGAGTGGTTATAGTGTTGATCCTCCTATAAGCATGGATCACGGTTTGAATCCCTATTCATTCTTCTATTTATTCATCAGCAGTTGTTCATTATGACTAATCCTGGATGTGTGGACTTTATGGCTTTTAGAGGTATGAGAATAGATGACAGTTGGGTCACAGTTGATGCTACTAATACATCTACAGTATGTCACAGATGTGATGTAAAATCATCCTCTTGTAAGCTCTGTGGCTGAGAGGCCACAGTGGGCCTTCTATAGCATGATCCATAGTTCGAGTCCTTATTCATTCTTCCATTTATTCACTGACATTTGTTTGTTATGACTTTATCTTGGGTGTATGTGTATATACAATATGTAAATTATTTTACATGTTATATGTTAGAGGCAGTAGTGAAATGCTGGGATGAATGATGCATAAAGTGTGTACTGGTTATATTTCTTAATAAAGTAGACATCATCATTTGCAGTATTTTGGGGTGTTACGTATTCTGTTTACAAAAATGCAGTAGAGTTACGAGGGTAGACAGGCCTATCAGTGATTCTTTTAAAATAACAAACAAATACTATTTACAACAGGGATTGCTCCAGGTTTATTTCTTTCTCACTTATTATAGCTAGTTAAGAATATTAGTTTTTCAATAGTGATTTCACAAAGTTTTTAAAAATTGCAAATAACTTGATAAACAGCAGTAACAGTGGATCTATTTCTAAAACTGCAAACCTCTCTTTTTGACAGATTCAGCCTTCACACCTCGTTCAGGTAGTCACATAGCTCGGCCTCTTTCTCGAGCTCTCAGTTCTCCACTTGTTACCCTCTCACCACAAGGATCACCACAGGAACCTATAAATATAAATAAGCAGGTAATTAGCTACACATGTTAAATTTATTTTTACAGTTTTCAAGATCTGAAAAGATAGTCTATAAGGTAAAACAAATACCCACAGATGTACAGTACAAAAAAAATTAGTATAGCGGACCTCTGGATTAAGACGTCACTGGAATAAGTAATAATTGAATAAGTAACATTTTTGCGTCAAAATACTGACTCGGTGAACGTCACTGAACCCGGTATAAGTCATTCGTGTCGGGGCCTGGGCTGCCCAGTGTACCACTGTTTACCAGCCAGTGAGGACGATCCCATGCATTCATACGATACATTTTGTATTATTCCATTCTTTTTAGTGCTTGTAAACTGCTAAATAAGTCACTGTGGGTCCAAAGAAAGCTTTTAGTGCCAGCCAGCCCTTTGGTAAAGGGCTGAGAGAGAGGGGAGAATGTGCCTTTTTCAGTGATTCTGCAATATATATGATGGTAAAGCAGCAGGAGTCGATAAAGGCTATAGCGCCAGCCAACGATAAAGTGTAGCATTAACTGTAGCAAGTAAGTTAAAGCAATTAATGGATAGAAAAAGGACAGCATGAACCTAACTCTTCCAATGTTGTTGGAGTTATATAGGGTGACTGACTGACAACACCGCCATCTCTAGTCTCTACAGCTGCTGCCGCCTCCACCACCACTATGTACGGCTTATGTCTCAGAGGCCCTTATACACCCAACAACAACAACTCAGCAACACTTGTGACATACTTAATGACGTATTTTATTCATTCTAGAGTGTTTGTCATGTTTCTATGTTATTAATATTATTTATTATGTCATATTAGATGAATTGTGCTAGATAAATAAGCCTTAGAACTGATATTAGTGTCATATTGAAGGACTATCTTGTCCTGTCTCCCAGCACAATTCCTAACATACTCCAGAAACAGACCTCTCTGGAAAACTTTTTTGAGCGACAAGGGTCCAGTGACTCTCAAGCTGGTCCTAGTGTCATTAAAAAACAAAGGAGGGAAGTAACCCAGGATAAGGACTTGGTACCCGAAGTCTTTATGGACTGGGATTCCCCTTCCAAACAATTGTAAACTCCTCCATCCTCTCCTCTTCTCCCGTCTTCCATACATCACCATGTCTTCGATAGAGGTAAGTGTGATGTTGTTATTGTTTTATTCTTCATGTATCATTGTTTTGTGTGTAGGTAAATGTATATTTCATATAGAAATTTTTTTAATACTTTTGAGTGTCTGAAACGGATTAATTGGATCTTCATTATTTCTTATGGGGAAAATTAATTCGGAATAAGTCAGATTCGGGATAAGTCACTCTTTCTGGAATGGATTAATTTCGTAGTCCGGGGATCCACTGTACTTCACTTTCCATTGTAAGCAGTATAATGTACATAATTAAGATGTGTGGAGGTAGTAGGCTGATAGACAGCATCTGCCCAGGGAGATACTGCTGTTCTGTCTAGTGAGTGTGAAACAGAAACCTGTAATTGTTTTACATGATGGCAGGATTGCTGGTGTCTTTTTTCTGTCTTATAAAAATGCAAGGTTTCAGGTACGCCTTGTTACTTCTTACATTTAGGTCACACTACACATGCATGTACAAGCATATATATACACTCCCCTTTGGGTTTTCCTTACTAGTTCATGTTCTTGTTTATTTCCGCTTATCTCCATGAGTAAGTGGAACAGAATTCTTCCTCCGTAAGCCATGTGTGTTGTAAGAGGTGACTAAAATGCTTGGAGCAAGGGGCTAGTAACCTCTTCTCCTGTATATATTACTAAATTTAAAAGAAGAAACTTTCAGTTTTCTTTTTGGTCCACCTGGCCTTGGTGGGATATGGCCTGTTTGTTGAAAGAAGAATAATAAAGATGTGTACATCTTAAGCCTCTATCTGCATATTAGGAAGATGGAATTTGCTTGTTACCAAATAACACCGAGACTGTTTATATTCTGCACCATGATTTTCCAAAATTTATTTACAGTAAGTTCAGTACAAATTTACATTCAGGTTTCAAAATGTGGAAGATGCAGGATTCTTATTTAGTTTTCCTTTGCTGGATGTTCAGATGCATGACAAATAGAAAATTGAAAGTAAATGATTATCAATGGAAATTTTGGAATGCAGATTGGAGATTTTGGTTCCTTTGATTGTAGGATCAGTCAAAGTTTAGAGTGTTTACCTGGATTCTTAATTGTCATGTGTTGGGGATATCACCCAGATAGTTAAATCTTGCAATATCGTGTAATCTCTCTTGCAGTTACAAAGTAGCTTGACACACACACAGTATTTTGGTCCTTATCCATGTGTTTGTTTCTGCTTGAATTGATTTTTGCAGTTGTTTGTTTGAAGGTTTGCCTAATCACTTGCATAAAAGACATAAGTGTGTACTGAATCATGCAGTTAGACTGGTATTTTCGCTCCCAATTTGAGTTCCCATTAGTCCCCACTTGTATCAGCTGCTTTGTCTCCCTATCAGGGCAATAAATTTAATTTAGACTCTTATTAACATTTAAAGCCATTATGCTTGTACCTTTTGTACTGGACTAGGGAATGTTTCTACAAATTTCTGTTAACACTTTTAGACTGACAGCTTCATGCTGTTAGGGAAAGAAATTATCTGGAGAAAGCTTTTTTCTTATGTAGCTCCCACACTGTATGACAAGTTAGCAGCTGTTAACCCTTTGACTGTTAGTTACCATTTTGTCGCAAGCCCAATTCTGAACTGTCTTCCTGTGTCACAAAATATTAAAAAAAAATAAAAATTTCTTACTAAAATGTTAGAATTAATTTGCTGAGTGTTTTAAGCCTAAAAAAAAATTTTGTGATCAGTACTTACTGAGCTATAGAGGTGTAAAGTTGGCAGAAAATGAGCTGCGTATGGCAACAGTGGCGAATGCCGCTCACTCAGTAAACTTTTTTACTCCCATTCGAAGGTTTCTTGTTTTTTCCACTACTATATTTTTTCAGGCAACTTACGTGGCCTGTGAAACCAAAGTAAGGCGCAATGTACAGTGGTCCCTCGCTTTTCGTAGTTCTCGGGAATCATAGATTTCGGAAATCATAGGGATATTTTCGTATAAACATGGGCTCACTAATCATAGGATGACTCGCGAATAGTAGTTTGTCCGGGACGTGTACACACGGTGTGAGCCTGGGCAGCCTCCCTACCCAACCAGTCTGGCATTGTTTACCAGTGAGCGAAGGTCCCCTCACGTGCTCCTACAAAATATTTCATAATATTCCACTCATTTTAGTACTTGCAAGTACTAAATAAGCTCAGAATCTTGCTGCAGAGGAGGAGGAAGAGAAATGGAAGAAGGTGCCTTCTTCAGAAATTAAAGAGATTTTTGCTATGTGGGGTAAGATGGAAAGCTTTATGGAGAAGCATCACCCTGACAAGGTTGTTGCAAGCCATGTTGGCAACATGTACAGTGACAAAGTCTTGGGAAATTTTAGGGAAGTGTTAGAGATGCCAGAAACAGAGCTCTCTCCACAGTTATTTTGCGAGACAGGACTCCAGTGACTCTCAAGGTGGTCCTAGTGGCATTAAGAAACAGAGAAGAGAAGCAACCCCAGAAAAGCAATTGGTACCTGAGGTGTTGATGGAAGGAGATTCCCCTTCCAAACTGTAAACAATCCAATCTCTCTCCTCCTCCAGTCTCCCATACACTAAGACGAATCTCCAATAAAGGTAAGTGTTATACTGTTAATGTTTCATTCACCATTTCCCATTGTATTGTTTATGTACTACATCTATACAGTGGACCCCCGGTTAACGATATTTTTTCACTCCAGAAGTATGTTCAGGTGCCAGTACTGACCGAATTTGTTCCCATAAGGAATATTGTGAAGTAGATTAGTCCATTTCAGACCCCCAAACATACACGTACAAACGCACTTACATAAATACACTTACATAATTGGTCGCATTCGGAGGTGATCGTTATACGGGGGTCCACTGTATTTCATGTAAAAAATATTTTTGTTTTAATACTTCTGGGTGTCAGGAACGGATTAATTGTATTTACATTATTTCTTATGGGGAAAATTGATTCGCAAATCGTAGATTTCGATAATAGTAGCAACTCCAGGAACGGATTAACTACGAGAAACGAGGGACCACTGTACATATATACACTCGTATGCAACACAATAAGCACACAAACATTCTCATCAGTATATTGTTTATAAAACTTGTTTACACAAGCAATACAAATTTTTTTTTATTATTATTGTTCTATAATATATATACAAATGTACAGTCACTGGACACTTTCCTAGAACTGCTGCAGCTTTTGGAATTTTTTGAAACATGGATATATGCACAGTGGTATTTTTACACTCCTCACACATAAAACGAGTGCTCTTTGTTTTTGTGGGCATTTTGTGGTATGTGCACAGACGTAACACCTCTTCTGAGCAGTTTTCTTGAAAGTAGTAGGAGGCACTTGTATGGGGTAGTGATCACCAGGCCTCAGACGAGAGGGTATGTGTTGATAATTTCGTGGGCGCTGGTCCATTGCAGGTATTGTTCCTTGGTACTTGAATATTATTTGTCTGACAACTGACAAACAAAATTCACCATATTTGGGTTTGTTGTTGGTCTTCAACTTATTCATATTATAAGCATTCAGCATGGAAATATCAAGAAGATGGAAAAGGAGTTTTATGAACCACTTATAACACTTGCGAACACAATCAGCAAACCCAATCTGCATGTCACATTTGTCCACTAAGTGCATATTGAGGTTGTAGTCCATCACAGCTGCAGATTTTAGAATGGGTTCATTGGTCTCTCTCTTCTGCCTGCCAGTGTCTGCCATTTCATGTCAGTGAACTGTCAACACTGTGACATCACGTTTGTCATGCCACCGAAATGCCATGTTGTCATTGGCAGCAAACGCCTGCACCAAGCTAAGAACTACCTGTAGAATTGGACCACTACTGAGAGGAGACTCGTATATTGACGATGAACAGTAAATGGGTGAAATACTTAAGGCACACGGAATAGGA